AATTTCCGAGATCTCAGCGTTTATACAGTCAGAAAGACGGACATGGCTAGATCGACTCGGCTAGTGACCCTGATCAAGAATATATACACTTTATAGGATCGGAAATGCTTCCTTCTAGCTGTTAAATACTTTTACACGAATACCATATTCCTTTTTACTCTACGAGGTACGGGTATAAAAATCCATAAAATTTACTCAGGGAGAAGAGATCCTATTAATTTCCCACTTCTTTCCCGATCGATCGTATGACAGCTTTATAATATAGTCGTCCGATAGTAATAAAATAGATTATTGCCAAGATTAAAAGATAAACCGAAGTTAATATACTATTCCCGTTAAAATATGTACTTAAAGTTTAATGCTCGAACTGTTTAACCTTACCTTCTTTGAGGACAGCTCTTTCTCCCTCGTAACTGAGATTATAGTGCTCCCGCGATCGGTGTTGTTCAAGAAATTTCAGATATATTAATGCCTTGTTTAAATTTGTTTTTAAATTGTCAAAAAATGATATGCCTAGATGTCGAGTAATGCTGATCAAGATAATTTATGCGGCCGGAAGAGTCCTCATTGTTTTGCAAACTTCTGACTGAAGTTATAATTAATACCATCTGCAAGGGTATAAAAACCCCAGTTAAATTATATGTATTGCATTTAGGTATAACCGTTTATTGTGGTCCCTAGCAAATTTTGATTTTATATAGTTGACTGTGAACACTTTCGTTAAAGATAGGCGATTGACGGCAAATTACTACAAATTCTAACGAGAGGCCAATTCAGCCCAGGACTCAATCTTTTCATCCGTTTAAGAATTTGCGTCTTGTTCCACATTATTCTTGCATATTTTGCTACATTCTTGGCTTCGAAGGCCACGGAACGTTTGGGGGTGGAAACTTCCCCATTCTGGGAAAGTTGTCGAAGTTATTTTTGAACGGATTCCATTCGAGTGCATTAAAAAAACATCCTCCGGAAAATGTAAAAAATGTTCCTGGGACTTCGCAAGAAGGTCTTGCCAAGAACGATGAAATTCCTAGCTCAGCCTTAGCCCGCCGAAGAGACTGACTCCCCACTCTTTCCGCCGGCAAGTGGTGCAGTGAAACGCAGCCTTGTGCCCCGAAAAGGCGTATCCTCGCAGGCTCTGTGCGCATCTGTCCGCCCAAAGGACTCTCACACAGACGCAGCGCACACAAGCTCCGGCGAGAGAGTGTGTGTGCGGCTTCCAGCCGGTCTGCATACATTAGCGGCAAGGACCTCGGATTGGCTATGCGGCGACTTCAACCCCTTGGCGAAACCGAAGCGCCGATGTATTAATAATCCCGCAATTATTGGCATCATTCTTAACATGCCCGCTGTAATAACACTGAGCTGCAAAAAATATGTTTCCGCTTGATTGGTATCGGTCATGTTATATCTTAAGTGGGAAGTACAATTTATGGATGCAAGTGAAACAAAATTAGCTTCAGCAATAGCAAAAATATATAAAACGATGGCAGTATGAAATGCCATTTTTAAATTTTCAATTGTAAGATTAAGATAAGGTTAGATTTGAAAACTTAAAATACTTTTTAGGACCCATAATACAAAAAAAATCGAAAAGCGGCATTTTAATCAAAATAGATATTTAGATAGTTTCCAAAATATTTATTATTCAGATATTTAAAGTATGTATACAACATACCTAGTAAGAATTGTTTTAAAAGCCCTATTTAAAACGCTTTCTCCTCGGCATAAATATATTTACCTCTAAATTCAACTTGAAACCCTTTTCAGACCCAACTGTCACATGGATTTCCGTACACGGATAGAAGAAGCGATTACGGTAGTGCAATTTCGGCGGGAGCTGCCCACGGAACCAGACTTGGTCATGAGCACGAGTCCCTGGCGTTGCATCAGGCCCTTCAAAATGCTGTGGATGATGTTCAAGCCCCTGCCCTCGACGATAATGTGGCGTTTATGTCAGACTTGCCGCTTATAAAGAGTGAGTTAATCAAATAAATATTATAACTATAATAGAATATTAAAGCTAACATTAGAGATTTACGTTAAAAGCAATTGAGGTGTTTTTCTAGTTACCAAGTTACATTTAAAATTCGAAACCCATTTATAATATCCATCATATTTGAGCATAAGGAAAACATCCCTTTGCATATCTAGTTCATTATTGGGGAGGGAATACAGTTTTTAGTAAAGTATTGAAACTTTTAATGCATATGTTCAAATTTTAGTTGAACTATTATCAGTTGGTTTAATTCCTATCCTCCAAACTTACTGTTTTTATTTATTAGAATAATCTTACTAGGAAAGTATATTGTTTGTGTTGAAAACCAAAAACTTAAATTAGGAACAAATTTTATAAACTGCAATGTAATTATTTAGCGTATGTGAAGGCATATATATTATTCATAGTCACAACGAACTTGCAAGTTACATTTCGCTCCATGTTGCGTATGAGGCGGTACCTCGAATACGCCTAGAAAACAAGGAAGGACCTACCCCCGAAAATAGTGAGTTTGTGTGCATTGTGAAATTGAATCTTGCCCTTCTAATTGGCAGGATTCGGGTAAAATGATCCCCACGTCCTGCGTTCACACTTCGCCCTGCCAGAACAATAACAACAATAGCAATAATAATATATTTTCCCTACCGTGAACAATATGGTGTGCATACTCATGGAGTCTGAATTTTGCGCTGCGTTTATTTACAGGCATGAAAAGCGGAAAAGAAGCCGGGAACATTGGATCGGGTTCGCCCAGCGAGGTATTCTGTGCAGTTCCTGGTCGCCTTAGCCTCCTATCGAGCACCTCGAAATACAAGGTCACCATTGCCGAAGTGCAGCGACGCCTGTCGCCCCCAGAGTGCTTGAACGCCTCCCTACTGGGCGGAGTGCTAAGAAGGTGGGTTCAGACAGGATCTACCTGTGACCGGGGCTTTAGCTAAGAATTGTATCCTTTTAGGGCCAAGAGTAAGAACGGAGGTCGTCTGCTGCGGGAGAAGCTGGAGAAGATCGGCCTTAACTTACCGGCCGGCAGGCGAAAAGCGGCCAACGTGACGCTCCTGACATCCTTGGTGGAGGGGGAGGCAACACACCTGGCCAAGGACTTTCATTTCGTGTGCGAAACCGAATTTCCCGCCAGGCAGCTGGCCGAGTACATTGTGCGACACCAAACGGAACCACAGGACTCGTACCGACGAAAAGAGCTCATTCTTCACTCCCAGCAGGTAAGATCCTAAGAAACTGGAGATTTCATCCAATCGGTTCGGATATGAAAATTCAATTTCCTCCATGAGTGGCACAATTTCTGCCAGGAATCATGCAAATAGGGCCAACCTTTAGAACGGAAAATGAGAAGACTTCAATTATAAGTTAAATGGATAAATAACTTTATTTTACGCCTTTCCTGATTTTCCGTATAGCTTTGGAGTCTTACCCCAAGACGACTTAAAATTGCAATGTATTCTGACAAAGTACATTGTTAGAATTTGATTAATATTTTAAAATACGTTAAAAAGCATTTAAATTAAATGCTATTTTAAAAGAATTGGACGTCATTAAACTGAATTTGCCATAGCTAAAGTATTTACATTTCAAATCTCTGTATTAAATTCAGATATCTCATTATGTTATGTGTTTAACATGATTAAAGAATTCAAAAGAAAAAATCTTTAAAAATGCATTTTAAATTTACAGATCACAAAAGAGCTTATGCAGATCTTAAGCCAAGATCGTACAACTCATTTCGGCACGAGATCACAGCATTTGTTGGAGCCGTCGATGCAACGCCACTTGACACATTTCTCCTTAATAACGCACGGATTCGGATCGCCCGCTATTATGGCTGTTCTACATGCTTTCCAGGTACGATACGATAGGCCCGCTGAAGTTCAGCTTTTTACCCCGAATTCTTTCATTTCAGACCTTTTTGAATGAATCATTAAACTATTTGGAAAAACTGTATCCTTCAAACGGTGGCGGGATGGTTTCGTCATCGTTGGACAAAAGTAAAATTGACAACGAAAAAAAATGATAGGCTATGTTGTATATTGCCACAGATTAAAGCAAGCCGTAATTTAAGATTAACTTTCCATACATTAGGTACAACACCGATAAAAATAATACAATTCCTGTAAATTAATTTATTTAGTTAAGTGTAAATTATTGGACATTTTGTATATCTATAACTGTAATTTGAATGTACAATATTCAAATATATTAAATACGTATAATTTATTTAACTTAGAAAAATACATCGACTTTTTGTCAAAAGCACAAAGCTTTTTACAACTAATTCAAACAAAAATCTTTACAAATACACTTATTTGTATGTAGAAACGATTGAAATGCTCTCATTTTTAATTTTTTAAGTAACTTACAATTTAAAGATTTTAAAATTATACAAATGAATAAAATGTGTTTTTAAAACTAAATACGTGAACATTTCGGCGATATCGGAAATCAAGGAATATATATGAACGAGTAAGTACATGACTGCGAAATCACTAGTTAGCAGTACTCAGCATTGTAATTATGCATTGAAATCTGGTGTAAATGTCAGACTAGAATAAATATTGAAGTTTGTGGCCATTACAAAAGGCGTAGCATTTTATTAGAATAACAGATTGATTAAGGTTAAAGAACATGCATTTAGCTGGGAATTTCAACTATAACATAAAATATTTGGGCGGCAGAAGATATGAGGCCGTCATTTAACTGAAATCAACAAGCGCTTTGCAGGAATACCTATAATCTGATTTTCCAATCCCAACTTTCTAGCATTTAAAGTTCCCGATACATGGCTAGACATTCTGGTTGGAAACACTTTCTCTACCTTCTACACACATTTTACTGAAGAGAGGTCGTATTTGTCCATTTGCTGCTCGGTTACCGGCAAGGCGAAGAGAGCACATACCTATTTTAAAGGCGGGACCAATAAACCGTACATTCCTAATTTTGAGTCAGGGCACGTAATTCCAATAAAGTTTCAAGACTTTTCATTAAAAAAATATTTATTTACATAATAGATCGACGTTTTATGAATAAAACAAATAATATAATAACAATCAAGCTTAAACTTATCATAAATATAATTGGAGTTCTTAAGCTATCGGCGACTTGGCTTCCTGCAAAATAGTCATTTTGGGAGAGTTTTGTCATCTCTGCATCCAATAAATTTTTAATCAAATTGATCTCAGATTCTGAAAGAATTATACAAAATATTAAATAGTTAAGCGAAATCTTTTAACATAATAAATACCTTTACTTTCCGTTGTCACCACGTCCAATGTGGAAGATTCCCTCTCTTGAACGCGATCTTTTTTCGTTGAGGCTAGCCAATGAAATTGTTCACAAATATTGTTTTGGGAACTTAATTTTAAATTACTACTTGATATCCTAAGAGGTAAAGGCGTTTTTTTTAATTTGTGAAATTCAGATATACGATTTAGGTTCTGGAGTAAGCTAGATTTATGTGAGTTTATGGCAAAATCTAAAAATGTAATTAGTAGCCAGTAACAAGCTTTCTCCAGATGCGTCGAGTCCAGACAGTTAGAGTCCCCATATACGGCGATTCGACCTTCACTATTGCTTTGATAATTATTGAATTTGGCAAAACTTATACCTTGCTCTTTTTTTCTTAGTAGCAAGACTCGGTTTTTAAACGTTGAGTAATCTGTGGGTATAGCCTCAACCAAATTGCTTTCCGCATTGCTTATGATTTCCTCGTTGCTTTCAATACTGTTGATCCTGGTTTGAAACATTCCAAAAATAGGTACATCAACCTTAGCCTCCTTGTTGGGTGTCTTAGAGTTTATTATCTGGAAAATAAAAATCTGTATTTCATGTGAATTAAATAATTTTAGCATAAATATACCGAAAGTCCTTGATCATTTAGCTTCGTTCCGACTAAAATATCCCCTGGGTTCATTGGAAATTTTATGATTGGGGCACCACTAGCATAGTACATTGAATGGTCGCCCAATTTAAAGTGTCCCTCTCCGACAAAATCACCGAAACCGATTCCAAATGGTTTCAACAAATCATTTAAGGCTGGAATATTGGCGCCGCCAGTGTCAGGTGTCCACCATTGCCTGGTGTTTTCGTCGAAAAATTTTATTTTCTTCATCACCGTAGTGTTATACCAATCACCAAATATAACGACATTTAGACCTTTATTGTAAACATTTTCCTTTAAAGCGGTTATTTCATCATCGGCAAACTCTCTCTCAGGGTCGACAATCAATAATGCTCCGTAATCCGAAGCGTTGAAACAAGTGAAGGGTTCCCGCAAAACATCAATATAATAGCCAACATTTCGTAAATGTGTATACATGTCCTTAAAGTTTGTGTGTATATGGTCTGCCCTCCAGTCCAGAGGATCTAGCTTTACTTTCAGATCATCTCGTGGTATATAGCGGGGAGGATAACGTAAGCTATGGTACTGGTCCCACAATATCCTTTTATTTCTTGGAGGTTTTTGTGTTACTTTTATTATTAGTGGAAATTCGACTTCTGTCAGTAGAGTTTTGTTGGTTGACTCTTTAAAACTTTGCACAACTACTGTGATACTTCCTTTACAAAGCCCTTCAAAGTTTTCCCCATGCTTTTTTACAGCTGAAAAAGAAAAGTGCTGTATTATATAATAAATCAATAAGCCCAAAAAAATGGGTGGACGGTGAAACAAACAACTTAAAATGTATTCCTATAATAGAGAATGTATCAATAGCTCACCAATAAAAACTGCCATCCACCCAGTCCACGGCCATAAGATAGGGGAGACTTGTGTTGATATTTCAAGAAGTTGACCATGATTATCGACGTCGGGAATCCATTTGGGGATGCCAACAATTTGACTGGTAACCGAAATGCCATTGAGTATGGTCACGTTTGCAATAACCACGGAGCTTCCATAGTATAACGGCTGAGAGCTATACGGCCACATATAGTTCGAAGTAAAATCAAGGTTTGATGGAATAAGGGTAATCTTCGGTTTATAGGATAGTAGCAGCTGCATACTCTTCAACAGATTTAGTTTTCCAGCTCCCTGCTCAAACATGTTGTAGTGCGGTAGCTTTTCAGCCCCTTCAATCAGAACCTGCTTCAGAGATGCTGGGTTTATCAAATCAATTTTTGGAAAAGCTCCGCTTATTAGCAGAGCAGCCACTCCTGCCACAACTGGAGAGGAAACGGATGTCCCAGAGAGGCGTCTGCAGCCCTTGCGCACATCACTCCCTTCCACTTGACTTCCGTACGTGACTATATCAAGTCCCAATCTTCCGTAGCCCAAAGGAAGTTCCCACGTGGTCATTCCTCTCGAACTGAACTTCGCTATTTTATCATCAAACTGAATACCACCGACGCCAATAACATCGCTTTGGTCGCCGGGATTGTTAAGAGTACCGAACAGAGGACCATCGTTCCCAGCCGCCGATATCATTATGACATTGTTCGCAGACAATTCCAAAACCTTTTCAACGAACGGCGAGTCCATAAAGTCCGGTCCACCTATGCTAAGGTTGAGTATGTGTATTTTCCTGTATATGGCGTAGTTAAAAGCATCTAGAAACCATGAAGTGTACGAAACCTGAGGTAGAACTGAAGTTAGCGCATTTTTATATGAGGATAGTTACTCACCTGAGAGTTCGTAAAGACTTTGAATATGTATAGATCTGAGTCAGGAGCAAAGCCAAGACATTCCCTGGAGGAGGCTATTACCCCGGCGACGAAGGTGCCATGACTAACTCTGTCATCCAGAGACTTTTCATTTGTCCAGTTGGTTCGTTCCTTTACATTTCGGAAGTGTGGATGGTTCTTGGTTAGCCCAGTATCGAATATAGCCACTTTCACTCCTTTGCCTGTAATTCCGAGCTTCCAAAGGACGTTTGCGTGCAGTACTGAGCAAACTTGCCGGTGTCGATCATTGTTCGAGTTCCTGTTCCTCAAAACTCCTTGAGGATGACGGTGTACGTTGGTTAAATTGCTGTTCGGACTATAGTTCAGTATCCGTCGTACACTTCGTTGCGGGACCACTGCCTTCACTGATGGGTGAGATTCAATTCGTTCTACAACCAACTTTGCAAATGTTTCATCATCGCCTAAAACTCTTAAGACATCGAAATCACTTGGATATTGCCAGGCTATATTTTCACGAGGAATAATTATCCAGTTTGTTATCTAGAAAAGATAAACGTTTCATCATAAAACAACGCTTTATTCCATTAAGTAGTAAAAAACTTTTGAATGTATCTTATAGATACAAATCTATCTGTTTAGAAATGAAGAATTTGTATCTTACTCACGTTTGAACCAAGGAGTTTCGCTTTGATATAGGATTTTCTAACCGGTGCAAAGTACTTTGAATGGAATTGAACAATAAACTCATTGGGAACAATGGATGTTTTAAAGGCGTGAAGTCCACAAATTGCACTTATGGTCACAATAATTGCCAACACATTCATTTAACTGTGTGAGGTTTATTTAATTTAATGAAATAGTTCAACAGGCTCCGTTTATGAAGAAAAAACAAACAAACAAATCAATCAGCTGTTTAGTGTGATCGTAAGGCGGTTGTAACAGAAACACCAAGGAATAGAAATACGAAAAATACTAAGTAATGCAAATATTTAGCTGCAAATTTATATTTATTTAAAAATCATTATTTTGAATTTGGTTTAAAATCAAATCAGTTGCATCAAGGACGCCATAATTAATTTTAGTTATAGACTACAAATTTAATTTCCTAAATTTAATAATGTTTATCTTTCCTTTTTGGCTCACTTGAGTTTTGGTCATACTGCGTCTCGTCCGGCAAAATAAGTTTTAAGCAAGTTTAAGTAAGTATGAAAAACCAAGTTATATTAAACATGGACTGCATAACAGTTAACATTACCATCCCAATAAAAAGGATATTGGGTCCCTACGTGTAACAGAAATCTCATTTCCGACAATCGTTATTGTTATACCCTAGCAAAAGGTAAAAGGTTAAATGTACCTATATTACACTAATATGTGAAAAACAACTTTATATGCAGCTGATAGGGCCTATCAAGATACTATAAATAGTATACCAATATAGTTTTTCCGAAAAGATTGTTTTTCCCATCACATCAAAACACCTTCAGAAGGCCAACAAGAGTATTTAAGCTTCGACTTGCCTGTTTAATTTTCCCCGTACTAATAATTAGTGCATACAAAACTAAATTACTTGTAGGATGTCAGCATATTTTATGTCAACAGTTAATTAGGATAAGATAATTGGCCATATACATAAGCGTCTGAATTAATCGCGTTCTTTACAATTACAGAATTAGCCTTTAAAATGGAGGAGCTGTGCAACAATTCCGGACATTCCGCTACGTCTAGTAGTGGAAGTAATTCGTCAATATCAGCTAAAACCGCACTAAGTGAATGCTCTGCTGCATGGATAAATTACTTAAGCGCATTGAATAATTTATGCACTGCCGGTTCAAAGTTGGCTCATTCTATAGCCGTTTTGGAACAGTGGTCTCTGAGCGAAAAACCCTTGTTCAATAATTATACAACATCTTATTTAACCAATTCATGGAACGATTTGGCAAGGTAGGAACAATAAGTCAACCCTAACTTTCAACTTAAATTAATTATCTATCTCACCATAGAGCAACAACAGTGGCCACAGGAACAGTCAAGACCCACATGTTGGCTCTACTGCAGGATTTCGTCACAATATCGTCCATGGATCAGTCATCCAGTGCAGAAATGGATCAAAAAAGGTTCCGAGAACACAACGAACTAATTGTATTGGAGAACGCACAGGCTGTAATTAATATTCAGCACCAATTCTGTGCAGCCAGCTACGATGCATTTTCATCTTTAACTTGTTGCTTTGTTTGCCAATCCCCAGTGGGATTTCCACATGAACAAGACTGCAGTGTCATAAAACAACGGTACATTTTGCTAAAAATGTATCTGAGCTTTAATAATATCCATTTCGGTTTCTTACAAGCAATCAATACGACCAACGATCTCAAACGCCATCGCCCAATTTATGTGGGCCAAGTACAAAAATGGACTCATCTAGAGGAAACTCACTAACCGACCAACGCCCGATTGCCACTGGAATTGCCGAATCAAGTAATTTTGGTTACCCTTTGGTTTAACGGATTTAAGAAAGTAATTTTGTTGTATTCAAAGCCGATCAGCCACGAGGTCCCTCGCCTCAATTGAATTTTTGCGATGCCAATCCAATGCAGGCTATTTTCGAGCACACGCGCGGTCCCTTGCCAAACCCCGGACAATTGCTGTCCATGAAGATTCCATTTCACCGCAACGTTAAATCTTCCCTAAGTTTCCCATTATTTCCGCTGAACGGTCAGCGTCGTTGGTCAGAAGCTGCTGCAGGGGAGGTGATAGATGGAATCTCTACGGATCCCGAGAGTCAGATGCGAAGGTGGTCAATGCCCTGGGAAGCATCGAAGACCGACAGGAACACTGTGACTTGGAACCAAACCAGGATAATGCCAATGAATACATTAAAGGCCTCTTCCTACAAAATGTCCAGTTCAGAACGATATACTTCGCATAATTCAGGTATGTTTTCAAAGCACCCGGACTTAAATCTTAAACTCTAAAAATAAAACCTTTTTATTGCAGATGGAAACTGGCCTTTGGCTTCAACCAGTCAAGATGGGCTGTTAGAAGCCATTCAATTGCTCTCTATTAGACCGACTACAGTAGCCCAAATAAGCCCTCAACCCTCGATTCTATCAACTTCTCCGGATGGAGCACCACTTGACTAAATATTAAATAATTTAAAACTAAAATTATTCATATAAATAATCTCAGCTAGACAAAAATAAATGCATATTTGATAATTTCATTAGTTGAATTAAAATCTCATCAGTCGTCGCGATAGGGGAATTAAGACTCACCTTCAAGGGTTAACACTCACCCTCAAAAGAAGTATGTTAATCTACTAGTAAAATGATTTATTCGTGCTTTGTAAGTTTGTTATGTATAATGCCATTCATTATTAGTAGGTAAGTTCTTACACGCTTAAGGTAAAGTAAATCTTTTTTTGTCGAATTTATAAGACTAATGAGATATTTTCTATTTCTTAAGTCTATGAACACTTATATTTAAAATAAAAGATACTTTATTTTATGTCCATAATACGATCCAAATTTTACGGATATTGCGCACATAATTGTACATACATATGCATGTTTGGGGCATACACACGTACTTACAAAAGAATTATTCATATTACTACTACTTTAAATTTATCCCGGTTTAAAAGATTAATTTTGTATCATACAGTTTTTGTTTAATTTTGGTATTTAAGTCTATTAATATGTTATTGTTTGATTATGTGTCTAAAGATACTTCTATTAATAACATGAATTTTTTGTATTTTTTTAAGATACTGAGATGTATTTTATAAAACGTAAGATAAATATTCTGCACAAGCTTCTGAATTTTTAAAAACATTTAACGAAACGCAATTTGAAAAAATTATACACAAACTAAAACTTAATAATACAATTTATTTCTCGGTTTTATTGCAATGTTTTTCCTGTACTGGACACAGGAAAAAAGGTTAAGTCCTTTATGATTTTTAAAAAGAAATATGTGCTTTGTACATGAATTCATGAAAAAAGATTGATTACAAACTACTCAAATTATAAGTATACATAATGTCATTTTGCAGACTGACTGGAAACTGAGGAAGCTTATCTTCCAGGCCGATGATTCATATTACTTAAATATTTAAAGTTCTATATATTTATTTTAGTGATTTGTATTCCCGTTGGTATACCTATCATGAAAACGTATCTACAATCGTTGAACGATATTGCAATATGTATGTATGTATTTTATGATTACAGGAGGGTATATACTGCTTTTAAGTTTTTATATGAAAATGCTAATCTCTTTATCATAGTATTTCTTTGTATATTTCCACTACCCAGAATGAGAGAAAGAATACCAGTTCGGATACAACTTATAAGAGGTTTCCTTGACAATAAAATTATAAAATACTTTTTTTAACATCAATGTGAACTGGTGCCACGAAAAACTTAGTCACAAATCGGACATGAATTTGAAAGAAATAGTATGGTGCAAGTCTAAGGAATTTGATTACCATATTTTCTAGTTTCTAAATATCCGTTAAAGAAGATTTATAATTTTATCAACAGTTACTACGCTTATACGATTGGGGATATAAGTATATTATAATACCTTATCGCGATATGTTAAAAAATTTCTCACCACTCTGGGGAATAACAATTTTGTAACTAATTAATAAATACAAAACAAGATCTTTGGGGGAAGTGATCTCGACATCTGTTTGCCTATTAAATTGACAACTTAGAATACCGATCATACCGTAAGATACAAACAATATAAGGACTATGGGGATATGCATCGTATAAACGTGGTAAATGTTTTTTCTGCTTTTCGACATTTCCTCTGCCGTTGAGAAGATGTATTGAGAATACTTGTGCTTATGTACATATATCTTTTGTGCAAATATACGAATTTCACGTTCGTAATATTAATTCGATTTGATTCACTTATCATGTTCAGATAATGTTTACTAATTCAATGACCTACTTTCGGACCTATTTATGGTATGACGTTATTATTCCTTATCAATATCAGCTAGTTTCATTGAAGCTGATTTATTAGATCTGTTTTGAGAGTAACTATGATATAATCCGGTACTCAGTTCATGGATCGGGTTAACGGGAGACTGAGTCTAACATTCCTTGCTCAGATTCAGTTCCCGAAGTTTAAAATACTTCTAGGGCTAACATAAAACTGGATTTTTATTAATAAAGAAAACAATAAAAAAATAACATCTCCTTAATATCTCTTTAAAACTTTTTTGTATAATTCTTGCTAACAAAATGAAAATTAATTATGACTTGGTATATACTTATGTTAAGTATTGACTCAATCATTGTTAGTGAACGCTTTTAGTTTATCAATATTATTGTTTCAGAAGTAATGAAAGAAAATTAAAAGTAATTTTTTTATCTTAAACCATTGCGGAAGTACATTTGTTAATATTCTATTGAGAGAAGTATTCTATATTGAGATGTCAATACATTTAATACGAATTCTTAATATACATACATGTAAATTTAATTATTTGCTAAAGTTTTAGTAAGGCACCATTTAAATTATATTTGCAAATAAACCCTACTCATTATTTCTTAAACACTAATGATAGGATAGATTACTAATATAAACAAAGATAAAATTATTTCAATGACAGATGGAGATATTCTAATATTGCTTGAAATGCCCATTTTATATTCCATATCGATATCGAGAAGGAGATCATGATTTCGCGTGTAAAACTGGTGAATATCGCTGATCTAAAGAAAAAGTTTAAGATTTTTTTAAAATTATACCTTATGCAAACTAATTAATGCCATACCTCGTTCCATCCATATTTGTTTTTAGCCTGAACGATTGCTTCATAGACAGCGTTGTGTTCCAAGTTTTTGACGAGGTAGGACATTAGAAAGTGGGACCCATCTGTTCTAATTGGTGTTGGCTTAATGTGATACTCATGCCACTTGCCAGGATGCTGGTAAGTTTCATTCATCTAAAATGTTAGTTAAATTATAACTCTAGAAACTGAAGATTATTTTATATTTTGATTGTTACCAATAAACGGCGATATAGGAGCTTTATCTCATCTAGCGGAGGTATAGACTCGATAGTCCACGTCAAGTTGTAGTGATCTAGGAACCCACTTAAAGCTGGGGATATAAAATCAGCAGGTCCCGGTCGACCAGAAACTTCAATATATTTCTTAGTTCTCCCCAAAGCATTATCAGCTACACAGCTGTAATTTCCGAAGTCCGTTGGCTGGAAGTTCCGAATAATAAGACTATATCTATCATCGCGTGGATACATAGATCGTCTATCGGTTGCGTCAAGAAGAAATGAGTTTTGGTACCACAGCATCTTTAAAAATGAGAAATAGAGTTTGAAATTATTAGTACAACGATTGTTATTGTTATCAACTCCAAACTCATAAATTATACTTACTTCCGAGCTTACATCTCCATTAACAGTGCAAACCAGCTCAACATCATATCCCTCGGACGCGTGTACCCAGGATTTCTCTACGGTTATTTCAGGGGGAGCTGGAACCATTATTTAAGTGTTAATTAAAAACGTGTCTCTGTGCTATGACTAAATACCGTTTTCTTACAGAGAATGGTCAGCTGAATGTCCATTGATACGCGATCTTTTACCCCATTATCGGCTGAACACTGGTATGTGCCTGCGTGATGTCTGTCCACATTTTCCAGTATTAAAGTTGAGCTATCCGACAAGTGAGTAGGCCCGGAAAACACGTCTTTCTTGAACCAAAATATGGTGGGCACCGGATTACCAGACGCCTTGCACTCCAAGGTGACAGTGCTTCCCTTTCGGGCAGTCACTTGTCCGTTGTGTGGAAGGGCCCTTAGGGTGGGCGGGACTATAAAGATGCATATATCATTTACATTGAATCGGAAGCTGCGTTGAACAAACTGAATTACCCAAAATCTCTACTGTATGAACTTGGTCACGATTTTCCTGATCACCTAGTTGGCAAATATAATCTCCAGCGTCTTGAGTCTTTACTCCATTGATCTGCAAGTTGTAGTCGCCCACTATCTTAAAGCGTTGATCCCTTGTTATTTTCAAGTGTCCGGCTGTGAGCACGGATGAACCCTTCCGCCACAGAAGCACAAATGAGCCGAGGTTTTGTACTTTGCAGGGCAGCTCGATAGTCTCGCCGACGATGACCTTGTACAAGTGACCCCTGGATAAAAATTTTGGCGCCGTTGTGGGAGGGTCATTCTCTGGCAATATGAAAGAGCCATCTGAAAAAGGTAAGAAATGTTGGTGTTACATTTTTAACTTTTGATTATATTTCTGTGTTGGTTTGTTAGTCAATGAATTTAAATTACATTAAAACAGTAAAATATTAAAACATATGTTAACCTTAAAATTTAACACTTCATTTATCCAAAAATATGCAGGTGCAATGCACATTGTGCATACTAGTGGGCTTTGTGACCACTCGGGTTCTTCAACTATTCCCAAAATAATTGTCGATATTTTTAAATTTCCGAAAGACAAATGTTACGGAGGAAAACGAAATTCCGCAGGCTCAAATTTACAAACATAATCAATTAATATTAAGCCAGAAGTAATGTTTTTTTGGCGTTCCCCATTTACTATTAATACTAATTTACTTATAATATTGCTTATACTGATTTTTTATAACAATACTTACCGATAAAAGAAAACGAAATCGAAAATAAGTAAAGTACAATCGGCCAGTATCTCCTTGTATAGGTATTCTGAAATACAAAAAATATTTAAAATTATATTAAAATCCATATAATGTTCATTAGTCAAATTTCCCAATAAAAACCTAAATAAAATTATATCAATATTAGAGAAACAAACTAGTACCAGTTACTCAACTCTTAAAACCAAAAAGAAAGGGTGTGAAAATTTCACAAAATTCGTACTTATGTCAAAATTGTTTAGCTTTTAAACAATCACATGGCTAAAGATCGATCTTCCTGTCACTTACTATTTTTTAAATACAATATACCTCTCTCTACAATTAACAGGAATACTAATTTAAGTTAAATTCCTAAAGGATTTGTATGTTCACTCGGGCGGTCCAAAAAATGAAATCCTATTCTCACCCCTTCACTTTTGTGGATTAGTAAGCAAATAATGTATATGAAAAAGAAAAAAAAAATGTTTCCGCATTTAGACTTTGCGAAACATCCTCAAAGTTTTCTTAAAAATGACACATGCAACACATACGCATGACAGTTCAAATTTGGTCGAAAAAAATCGTTCTCCAATTTCTAGTCTTGTCAAATTATGAATTTAGTTGGAACAATAAAATAAAAAAACATCAGATTGTTGAAATCTACGACACCTAGATGTGTATGGTTTATAAACTTTGAAGCCAATTCGCACACCCTTAAACGAGATTTTTTCAAAAAAATTCTTTTGGTACCTCAATGCGCACCGTATGGGCGGGGAGAGTAGGACCTTAAAAATTTCCATCCAAATGTGGACCGCCCTAATGTTCACAGAATGTTTTTTTCTTTCGATAAATTTATTGACCGGAATATAATTCTGTTATTTATATTCATAGAACGTAGGTATTATTATAATATCCATTTAAAGTTTTATGTATGGTAAATACTAACAATATAAAATATTACCTTATTTAAGGCGCTACATTCCTTACCTTGGGTAAACAAGAAATGGCTCTAAGGCCATATGGGCACTTCCAAAAAAAAGTCCACCAAGCCAAAAACCTTGAAACTTGAATAAAACATATTTCCACATGATTTTGCCCCGATATTAGTTTCTAATTAGTTGGATACTGAGCTTAACTACAAATTTGGAGTATAGTTTGATTATTTTTATGACAAACTCCACCGATATACGCAAAAATCAGTTTTTGGCTATTGTTTTGTTATTTTTTGGACCTGTCTTCTGTTGTTAATTTATCCTATAGGAATGCTAATATGTAACATTTTTCTGTACTGAATGCTTCATTCACATGCTAAACTATTAAGTTAAAAGCAAAACATCCAGCAATTGAGAGATAGAGGTAAAGAAATCCGCTTTACAAAACAGTCGGAAAAAATGTCCCGAGCGACATGTCCCGAGCGAATGTGGTTGAAACTGCATAAAAAAAAAACGGCAAAGAATTTTTGAGTGAAACCAAAAGCATTTCACAGCGACATGTTTGAACAACATTCTAAAAAAAATCGCATTCAAATATTCCATCAGAATTCGCTAATTTCTGGTGTTGTATGAACTTCCCCGAAATCCACTTCTATTTTTGTCCCGAGCGAATACGGCAGTTTTTTACCGATATCTTAAAAACTAAAAGTGGTACAAAATCAAGATTTTTACCAAAAATAGAGCTTGGGAAGAGTGAAAAGAAAAGCCTATAATTAAAATTAAAATCCATTGTTTTACAATTTTTTTTCAACTTTAAAGGTGTGCAAATGTCCCGAGCGACATTTTGGAAGTGCCCATATACAAAATTAGTTTGATTAGGAAGGGCATCACAATCCACCCGTTTTCTTAAGACTATATCTACACAATAAATTTAAACGAACACATGTACCAATAATGTAACTATTTTCCCGAATCTTAACAAATCATTTGAATTCGGATCAAGAATACAATTTCCCTTTTTGTTGTCTTTTAAATTATATAAGAAAAATAGCAAGAAACAAAAAACGGTTTGTTAATTTGTATAATATTTTGAAAATATTCACGACCTTTTTGAGCAAAACAAGTTAACTAACTAACGCACTAACGTTCTTTAATTTAAGAAAACGAGTGACATCTCGAAATAACTGCTCAATATTTATCTGCGTGCAGTCTACACTAGTAATTGGAAATATGTACTACCTAAGGTACATCTGAATTTTATTTGCGGAAGATAAATTTAATCATCACAAAAAAATAATGAACATAAAACTATTAAAGAATACTATTAGATATATAATTTGTTTGATATATTGTACCTCGACTCCACAGTATAATAGACTGTTTTATACCCTTTTCAAATTAATCACGAATACATAAGTATGTCTGTATATATAGACATATACTTATATACACCCACATACATAATATATGTATCTGAGCATTGGCATAAAACCTTAGATGCAATAAAAGATAGTAGTTCTAGAGATTAGTAGACCTTCCATACTTTTTATTAACATGAAAAACTTTCTTTTCACTCTTTGTTTTATCACATCTAATTTTTCAGGCTCCCATTTTCATTCTTACCATTTTAATATGTATGTATGGTATGCACTTATTTCGGTTTTCTCTCTATAAAATTAACCAGGTTTTGGGTTTTAGTTGACTTATGAACAAGGCCCGATTCACTAGCACTCAACACTTAATTGTTTATTAGATTAATACCATTTTTTCGGGTTTCTTATAAAATAGTCTCGGATTGAAGACGAGGCGAGTATAATTGTATTTATCCTTTAAAGTTCCATTAAGTGAGCGCATGCTCAGCTCAGCACTATTTTAGCGCATGCTCTTTGTATATCTACTTTCGCTACATTATAAGGCTATTTTATTTATAAGGTAAGGTTACATTATTGCTGTATTTTCATTTGAATTTTCTCCCCTCGCCTTGAACTTTTAGTTAGTCGGTTGCTAAAATGAAATGAAGCAATGGCAATCAGCAATTAGGGGCGATTGAGCATCAATATTACCGTGTTTAATTTTTAATTTAATGAAATAAATGTAACCACTTTTTTCCGAACATTTTTATGATTGTATACATTTAAACCTCTTTCGAGAAAATTCAACATTTTCGCAGAATAAAAACAAACATGTTTTTAAGATAAAAGAAGGCTGCATTACGATCTTTTTAAACTCATTAATTAAGTTTGCAAATACAAAAATACCCCAACTATTGTTGCAATACAAAATCATATTAAAATGTAAATATTTTTGAAAATTATTTCAAATTTCTATAAAACGTTGCATACTGAAAAAAATTTCGAAAATGTTATCGATAGATGTTAGTATAAAAATACATTTCTCAAATCGCAGGTATCGGCGCAAAGAGAGTAATATCCCATCCCTATTTCGAGATAATGCAATATTTTGTATTTACGTGTAAGAATTATGAATCGTTAGAACGGAATCGACAATGATTGTGTTACTGTAAGAATACTCACCTCTTAACTAGCCGATTTACTAATACATTTGATTCGCAGTCTCTGGTTGTTGCTATCACTTGTGCTAGTGGCCGTACTCTCATTTATTTCCCTGAAGCAATGGTTGCTAAGCCGGAAAAAGAAGTTACACACATCCTCTGAAAATGGCATTAACGTTGGCATTTTCCATCCGTACTGTAATGCGGGTGGCGGAGGTGAACGTGTCTTATGGTGCGCCGTAAAGGCCCTGCAGGTAAAATTGGAAAAGCTGAAAAACATACGCACATAAGACGTGTCTTTAAGGGTTCTAACGTTCCACCGATGATCGATGGTTCGATCAATACAGAGTTTATTTTAGCTGTCTTAAATAAATAAGAAGAATGCAGAATTTTTACTATTATTAAAACTCCTATTTATTTATGTACTTTCTTTTTCTATTAAATAAATATAAATATATATTTTTAAAATTTTGTAAGATTTTTATACCTATTTTTAAAACTTTTAATTTTCGATTCCCCCAGATGCATTTTAAAAAGCCACTTTCTTATTAGTACCTTTTAATATTTTTAACCAAAGTGTAATTATTTCCAAACAAATCATCTGTTTAAATTTTGTTCATACTTGTTATAAGTTTTAATATGCATACAAATGAAATTATATTACTTAAAGGAAAAGTACCACAACGCCAAGGTGGTAATTTACACTGGCGATATAGACGCCTCTCCCAATGCCATACTGCAAAAGGCCAAGAATGTTTTCAACATTGCCGTTGATAGCGACAATGTGAAGTTCGTGTTCCTCAAGCAACGCCACTGGATCGAGGCGAAAAACTATCCCCACTTTACGCTGCTGGGCCAGAGTATTGGATCGATGGTCCTGGGTCTGGAGGCGCTCTGCAAGTTTCCGCCAGACATCTTCATCGACACCATGGGATATGCCTTCACGTTCCCCCTCTTTCGCTATTTGGCCCAGTCCAAAGTGGGCTGCTATGTGCACTATCCGGTTATCAGCACGGATATGCTAAAGAGGGTTCAGCAGCGGCAGATGTCGCACAACAACAAGAAATACGTGGCAAGGAATCCGTTCCTGACCTGGACTAAACTGACCTACTATAGGCTGTTCTCAAGGGTGAGTTTTGGAAATTAATCTTCGCAACGGCACACTTAATTCCCTTATTCTAGATGTACAAGTGGGTTGGTTGCTGCGCCGAGACTATTATGGTCAACTCCTCGTGGACTGAAAATCATATTCTGCAGCTGTGGGAAGTGCCCTTCAAGACCCACCGGGTGTATCCTCCGTGCGAGGTGACCCACCTGAAAAACCTCCAGCACACGGGAAAGGGCGAGGAATTTATCATCCTATCTGTAGGACAATTCCGTCCGGAGAAAGATCACCCCCTCCAACTGCAAGCTGTATACGAACTGCGGACTCTTTTGGCCCACGAGGAGGCTCTTTGGAACAAGATAAAGTTGGTCATTGTGGGCTCCTGTCGCAATGAAGAGGACTATGATCGGTTAAAGAATATGCAAGACCTGACCAAGCACCTATCGCTCGAAAACAATGTTCAATTTAAGGTGAATGTCCCCTACGATGATCTGCTTAAATTGTATCAAGCCGCGAACATTGGAATACACACCATGTGGAATGAGCACTTCGGGATCGGAATAGTTGAATGCATGGCGGCAGGCCTTATAATGGTGGCTCATAGGTCGGGAGGTCCCCTGCTTGACATCGTCGAAACCTCTGAGGGAAGTCAAAACGGATTCCTCGCTACTGACGCAGTGGAATACGCAGAGAATATATTAAATATCATTGTTAACAACGAAGACATGAACGGAATCCGAAGTGCAGCAAGGTAACTTAAATCAGTTCTTGAATTATTACATTTTCATCAATTTGGTTTCGTTTTCAGAGCTTCTGTTGAAAGGTTTTCTGAGCAAGAGTTTGAAAAAAACTTTTTGCGAGCTGTTTCAACATTATTTACAAACGTTTAAAAGAGAATAAATTAATCTGCATCATAAATGACCGAAAAACTCGACAAACTTTTCAACTGTATACATTTATTATATTTTACATAATATTTAGAGCGACGTTATCCGAGCATTATCATATCGCTTTCCTTAAGTTTTATCTAATGAATTTTTAACCAAAGCTTAGGGTGTTTATTTTCTCTTCGACTTCACAGAATCGGCGATAATCTCTGAGATTTGGTACCAAATTCGCAGTCGTATTTTAAAATCATCCTTAGGAGTTTATAATAATGGGAGCTGCCAAAGGAATTAAGAAATTAGCTAATAGTCTTAGTCCCGATCTTTCCTTAAACCCAAAATCATGTTACTAATGGCTTCCAGCTAATGCTTCATAATTTAGTCACTAGGTTAGCTTTAAATTAAAGTCGCATAGAGCAACAGGAAAATCTCAAGGTTGTCTACCTTCTGTCATTCGCCAGCCAGGCTAGCAAGAAGCTCCTCATCGATACCATCGCCCGACGCCATTCCCGCAGTGCTGCTCAGGTTGAGGAGTCCATCGTTGCCAGGCGGGGGAGGAGGTGCCGGCGGCTTGGCTTCGGGCTCCGCCAATCCAGACGAGGTGGCAGAAACTCCCGATATCGAAGATGATGTTCCCGCTGCAGCCAGGTCTCCGCTTCCACTGGGCGTACTGCGTCCGCTGGTTGTGTTGCCACCGCTTGCTCGCTGTGACAGTTTCGGGATCTGAAACTTGTTGTGCAGTCCCTTGATAAAGCCCTCCATGCTGGCTGCCATCGTTGGCGAGGCGTATTGCAGGATGGTCATCATATCGGTGTGGTGATCGAACCGCGGCGGTGGCTGGGACATGGAGCCGCTGAGTGCCGGCGAGACGGCGCCCGAGGATCCGCCGACCCCCGCCGAAGTGGAGCCGGACTTCCGCTGAGCACTGGCGCCACCACTGCTGCCGCTGGCCAAGGCTCCCATGCTGGGACGGCGCCTGGGGGCGTTGTGCTCCTGAAAGGAGTTGGTACTGTTGCTCTTGGTCAGCGGAACTCCCCCGCCAGCGCCCGATCCGCTGAGCTTGCTGCTGAGATTGCCCGAGGAGTTGGCTTTCTGGAAGAGATGCTTGCTCGAGGACGTTCCAGCGATCGCGGCTGCTGCGGTGGCCTTCTTGGAAGCGGGTCCGCTGTTAACGCCTGGCTTAAGTCCGGTGTGCTGCTTCTTCGTGGACCCGGAGGATCCAGCGAAGCTCGTCGCGCCACCGCTGCTGCTCTTCGCCTTCGCTTGGCCAGTGGTGGAGGAACTAGAGCCGGAGCCGGAGCTGGAGCTCTTGCTGCTGCCCGTCTTGTTGATGGTCAGCTTGAGGCCCTCCTGGCTGCTGGGCTTCACCATGTACTCTGTGGAGGCTCCGGCCGGAGTGCTGCCGCCGGCGGAGTCGGTGCCGCCCCCGCTGGTGGCCAAGCAGCTACTAGTTGGCGCTGCTCCCGGCTGTTGCTGCTGCTGCAGCATTGTTGCTGTTGCCAGTGCTGCTGTTGCTACTGCTGCCGCTGCTCCCTGACCCTGACCCACTCCCGCCGAGACTGGAGGCGCCAATGACGCCGCCGATGCCGCTGCTCCCGCTCCCGCTGCCACTGTTGTTGTTGCTGCCAGGATTGTTGGCGCTAAAGCTGCCGTCGACGTCATCAAACTAACCTGACAAAGTAAGCATGTGGTTGTGTGTGTGTTAGGGAGCAAACGAACCAAAAATAAACCAAAAAAGAACCAAAATTATAACAATCAAAGGGGGAACATCACGTGTGGGCAAACAAATAAGTTAAGGATTTCGCAATCAATTTCAGGATCCCACCGAAGAGTGAGAGTGTGGGTGCAGTGTAGGAAAAATACAGATATAGAGAAAGGAAGAGAAAACGAGAGAGGACCCAGTTAGTAATTAGCCTAATAATAAAGTCAGCAGCAAAAGACATTCCCTAGAGAAATCCGAGATTTTAATGGAAATATTTGGAATATGAGCACTGCAAAACTAGTAACTCTAAACTAAAGTGTAATTGGGTTTCGTGGTACAGTTTTCGTACAAGAATAATCGACATTACAGATACAACAATTAGCACAGCCAAAATTGTTTAAACATGAAGCTCAAAAGTCTACCATCCAGAAAAAATACAAACCATCCAGAACTGATAATAACCGGCTCTGTAGGAGGAGGGAAGTGCACTATGTGTAAGCATTGTTTTTCTACATGAAACATGCAGGCAGAGCAGATATACAAAATAAATAGATAAATATATATGCACACGTGCTCAGTGCAGGAAAAGAGGTTAGATCTTGCGATTCGAGGATACCGAGTGTGGAAAAGTCCCCATTACCGTGGAAAGGATTTGGATTAAGTCGAAAATAAAACGGATGCAGCAGTATGTGACAAACAATAGGATAATATATATTTACAAAAATAAGGAAGAGAAAACGAGACACAAACAAAAAATAGTAATAGAAGTAGCAGTAATAATAATTTTCAACTACAGCAGAGGTAGGCGAATTACAAATCGTTTTATAGCTAAGTTAAATACAGCACTCGCATTAGTTTCAAAATTGGATCGCTCTGTTTTGGATTCTGCATTGGTTAGGAGAGTCAACTACGTGTTAGGCTTCCAGTGGGAGATGCTGGGGGTGGGTAGCTGTGGTGTGGAGCACTTATAATGAAAACGGACTTACCGCACCTCCCGCCATGCCCTTGCGCAGGCCACTCAGCTCCAGTCCGGCAGCCCCCGCTCCAGCTCCTGCTCCTGCTCCCACCACCACGGCCGTCCCAGCCGATCCGCCGGCTCCCGACGCAGCCGCATAGTTGCCCAATCCTCCCCCCGCCGCAAGATGCGAGAGACTGGCGACCGACTTCATCTGTTGCTGCTGGGAGGACTTTAAGGCAGCAACTGCAGCCGCCACGCTGGCCGGTGAAATGCCTCCGGCAGATGAGGCAGCTGCAGCCGCTGCAGCTGCCGAGGATGAAGTGGAACTGGAACTGGATGCGGACGAGGATTTCTCCTTCTTTAGGCCCTGGCTGCTGCCGGCGCTTCCGCTGGCGCTTGCTAGCGGTGGAATCGGCGGTGGTGGCGGCGGTGCTCCAACGCTGGCGAATGACCGCACCAGGCCCGGAGTTCCACCAGATCCCGAGGAGGCGGATGATCCCGACGATGTGGCCATCACAGCCGACGAGGACTTATCGGCTTTGGGACTCAGAATAGTGGCGGCTGTGGCTGCACTTTTCAGCGTGGACATACTCGGCTTTCCGGAGGATCCGTGTTTGGGCGAGTGCGTGCCAAACGGAGACTTCGGGCTGTTGGAGGCCGTGTTGTGTTTGGGACTGCTGTAAACGGGCGAGTGCTTCGGGCTGGGACGCGCAGTCGGCACTCCGGCCATCAGACCCTGACCAGCTCCACCTGCCTTGGGCGACGACGAGGGCGAGGAGAACTTTCGCACCACTCCGCCGGACGCAGAAGCATCTCCGCCAGCTGCCGGCGAGTTTTGCCGAGAGTAGATCTTCTCTGGCGGGCCCATGGGCGAATCGTCGCGCTTCTTTTTCCGTTTCTTCTCTTTTTGTGTGTCCGAGGAGCCGCCACTGCTCGAGGACGACATGGAACTGCCGGCGCCACCGCCACTAGACGAAGAGGAGCTGCTGCCGGTGCTGCTCTCGTGGGGACGCTTGGCGGCTGCACTAACGCCAGCCGAAGAAGAGCTGCCCTTCTTGGAAGAATCCTTACCGGGGTCCTTGCCGGTTATTGGGGTGATCGTTATTGTCGTAGGTGCAGCACTGGACGAGGCTGCGGCACTGCCTCCAGCGACAGCAGCCTGGGCGTTCAGTGGAATTATCTCAATGCCACCCGTGCGCTGAACCTCAACGCCAGACAGTCCGCCTGTGGGCCCCGCAGACTTGCCATCCCCTGCGATGGGCGTGATACTGACACAATGCTTCAGATTCGGGGTCTTGTCCTTCCAGATATTCTTGTACTTGTCGGCAATGTCGTGATCGCTCGACTTGACGGCGCCGGAAGAACCAGAGCTGCCGCTGACCGATGCGCCACTGCCGGTTGAACTGCTAGACTGAGGATCCGTTTCACGCTTGAGATTGATCAGTCCCGCGATGGCCGCCGCAGCCGACGTGGAGGCGGCGAAGGCATCCGCCAAAGATCGTGACTTTGCATCCATTTTGAGGTTATTGATGTTGGCAAAGCCACCGCCAGGCAGGCTTCCATCTGGCGGCGCCGCCGCATCCATTGCAAACTGATTGAAGCTATTGCCTCCGCCTGGTGCAATTCCACCGCCCATTCCTCCTCCGATTGCTCCGGAACCAGATGCGCCCGATCCGGGACCAATTGCCCCGTGAAGCTTGAACTCGTGCTCTTCATCCCAACACTTCAGAAGCTTGTAGATGACCATCGGAATGGACACTACTTTGCGGACGGTGCGGGTGAGCTTCTGGGACAGCAGCTCGTATTCATTGCTCAGACAATAGACACTGCATGTGGGCTGACCATCCTCCAGTAAAAAGTCCACCGTGGCCAGTGACTCTTCGTAGGGATGCTGCAGTTCCACTGTGATCTGGTTGAAGGAGACCGCGGTTACCTCGAGTATCACAGTGCTGTCCATGTCTGTCGTTAGAATAGCAGTGTTATTTTGAGTGAATTGAATTTAAACATGCCCAACTCACCATTATACTGCTTCTGCTGCTCCCGAACACAGCTGGCAAGCAGGGTGTAGAAGAGAGCCTGCTTCTTGAGGAACGCCACAATCCGCGGCACCTGGGCGGGCTCAGTGAAGGGCAGCGAGGACACCAGGGTGCCCTGCAGCTTACGATTGTCGGTGAAGAAGTAGCAGTGCGTCTCCTTGGGCAGATTCACATAGAGGCCGCGCTGCGTGTTCTTAATGGCATGCTTGGAGGCCGTCTCCACAATCAGATTAAGCACTGTGGTGGGTGGACTGGGTGGTGTGGCAGTGGCATCAAGCCCAGGCAGTCCGAGCGCCTTCAGAGACTCCAGGCACACGGGCATGGGCTTGTTCAGCCGCAGCACATACGTGGCCGGCATCAGCAGCGAGTTGTTCTGGTTGAGGGGGGCGTAGGTGGGCACCTCCAAGCCCGTCTGGGCGTCGCGGCCCAGGGTAACGGTGGGCAGGGTCTGCAGCTTGTTCGCCGAGGAGCCCTCCAGATTGACGGTGGCACTGAGCCCGTAGCTGCTGCGCATGACCTGATCGATGGTGAAGTCGCCGCTGGCCAGCTTGGGATCAGACTCGGGCAGGTGGAGCGGCGGGCAGAAGTAGGTGAGCTTCATGGGATGGCCACCGCGACGGGGAAGCACAAGACCCACGGCGGAGCTGGTCATCAGGGAGTAGCTGTCGCCGGAGTGGCTCTGGAGATGCAGCTGGTAGAGGCTCTGGATGTCCGTTTCCATGGCCTGCAGCGCCACGAAGGCTTTCTTCTTCACTTTGGGCTCGGCATTCAGCTGGTAAATGGAGGACAAGCCCTCCAGTTGGACCGTGAAGTCGGCGAAGTCGCCGTTCTTCAGGCAGGCCACCAACTCGCTGGACTGCTGCTCAATCTTGCACTCGTGGTGCACCTTGACGTCCGACAGGCTGCCGGCGCTGTCCAGCAGGATCTCCACATAGAACATGTCCGTGGAGATGAAGAGCAGCTGCTGGTCCTCCATGAACTTGAGGCCCAACTGCCGCGAGAGGCTCTCCAGCCGCTCCACAAGGCCGTGGCGCGAGGTGACCTTGATGTAGTGCTGTAGCTTGTCCAGCGCCGACTGCAGCGTGGCCTTGCAAAGCGGGTCCAGCGGGTAGTGCTTCTCGATGAAGTACATTCGCACTGACTTCTTTATCTCTTCGTAGCTCTTCGGCTTGCTCCGGTACTTGGCCCGCAGCTTCTCCATCATCGTCTCCTGCTGGATCTGCTTGTTCTTCTCCTCGATGCTAGGAATATGGCTGCCGAAGCCTGCTCAAATGGTTAGTGGCTCTGCAAAATGTAGCTAATGGGACAAAATTCGGTACTCACCAGTCCCCGCGGCCTTTGGGTTTGTCCCGCTCATACTTCAGTCTTTCTGGGAAAATTGTTTCACTTATTAATGCTCTGGCATGGTCAACCAACAATCGAAGTTGCAGAAGCGTTCGCGACCTTTAACTGGGCGAATAACTCGGATTTTTTCTATAATTACTTCATGGCGAAAAATGTTCACCGCAAACAACAAAATGGCTGTTCTTTTCTTCACGGCGGCTGGAAAACGGTCACTCTTTTCGCCAGCAACATATTTTAGTTCGGTTGGGGTATTCCCTTTATATCTAATTGCCACTGAGACACGTTATATCCACCGTTGATTTCAGTTCGCATCGGTGACATCCGTTATCCTTTTACTTTGGGGGAACTGGAAGAATATTTTTTTTTTTTGTGGTTTAAGTTTCCACGACACCCTTGAATGCCGTGGGATTATTTGGCCACCCTCGTAAACGTGGAAATTGCCAAGTTGTATGGTTTAAAAAATTTGGTTTAAGGCCTGTTAGTTATAAGTTTACTTTAATTTCTTCCAGAAAATTAATTATGTGTTGGTAAGCGTCTATATTTTCGTGTTTTAGGAACTGGTATACGTCTTGGTATTTTTTCAGGGATGGAAAGCGATGTCTGGCAGTGTTGTATTTGGAACAGCTGAAAATGATGTGTGAAGCGTTGTCGAAAACATCGCAACTGTCACATCTGTTGTTATTTACTACGTGCATTTTGTGAAGCGTATAATTGTCAAATGCGTTGCCGCTAAGTAATCTATTAATTATAGGGGGATTCCCTAAACTGTTGAATTGCTGAATTGTTGAATTTTGGTCAGCTGTTAATCAGCTGTTCCATACAAAGTCAACTTTCAGAAATTTCAGCAATTCAACAGCCTCGAGGCTGCTGAAAATGTTGTTGAATTGCTGAAAAGCCAGAGTTGTCACCTTTTTTCAAAAGTCGTGGCAACTCTGTAACATTTTAGTATCATTAGTACGCATTATTTATTTCAAAATCAACTTAGAAAGCATATTTGTGGTTCTTTTTACCTTGGTAACACTTTTAGACAGTAACTAGCAATAATAAATCAAATTGTACATGCTTTAAGTTCCGTGAAACTTTTCAACAAATAACAGCTGTTTGAAAATTCAACAGGAACCATTTTGGGTCGTTCCCTTAGTTGCTGAAATTTTTTGTTGAATTTTCAACAATTCAGCAATTCAACAGTTTAGGGAATCCCCCTTATTTTAATACTGTTTGGTTTTAGCTTGGAGCCTTGGTTGGTGAACCATGGTTTGTTTAGTGTTGTAGGGAAGAGTTCGCAGTAACCCCGCTGTTTTTCCGCAGCAAAGTTGGCGTAGTCCTTCTCCCAGTCGTCCTGTATTAGCCGGTGAGTTTCGGCAGTGGCATCTTTTATACTCCATCATAGTGCTGTGAAAGTTCCTTGGGAGGGGGCATTCTTGGCGGCCTGGTCCACGATTTCATTTTGCGGAATTCCGGTGTGACTGGGTATGTGGTGAATTTCTACTAGACTCAGTTTCTCATTATTGGCAATTTTCTTTTTAATATTGTGGGTTAAAAAGTTGTTATGACTGGCCTTTCGTAATGCTATCGCGCTATTCCTGCTGTCGGTTAGGATGGCTACTCGAGGTATGCCCACCGAGATGACATGGTTGACCGCTTTGTCTATCGCTAGCAGTTCGGCTGACAGAGAGGACAGAATCTTGTTTGTGTAACAACTTTCTAAATGTTTGGAACTGTCTATTAAAAAGGCTGCGCTTGAATGATTTTGAGTAACGGATCCGTCTGTGAAGACAATCTCAAAGCCCCTCCATCTAGGGTCTACCATTTTTTCCTTAAATATTTGCATAATGCTTGTTAAGCCTAGTACTCAGTTCGGCTAAGAGTTTCACTAGTCGAAAAATATTAATCATTTAGTGTGACCGAAGTTTTCGGAGTTCATCCGCAATGCATGTAGCATGGTCTTACTCTCAGCAAACAAATCGACTGGTGCCAATTTTAAAATATTACAAAACGTTGAGCCGACCTGGGTCGCAAGCTTTAAATTCCCTGTTGGAATGGCGATATGTATTGCAGCAACTCCTACAGGCAGTTTTCCAATGGTTTTTGTGGTTTTCCTTCCATTTATACATTGTTATTGGCAAACCGCTTCTGCACAAACACAGCCAAAGATCGATTTTTTTATTCTTTGGGCCGCGGCTAAAGGCGTTCATCGGAATTCATCCGCTAAATCTAGTATTTTTTTGGTATTTCCTTACCATTTCCTTAGCTCAACTGAGTACCGCGGTGAAAAAAGTCCCCGGCTAAAGGCTTTAGCTACCTATTTGCCTCTCGCTTACTCCTATGCTTAGCTTGCAGTTTTCGTCGTACTGAGTACTAGGCTTTAGGTCTATATCACTTTTAGTTTTGGCTGTTCCCTTAAAGAAGTCTAAATCTACCCTTATTTTGCTAGTGCGGATTGGCTCCGGATCACAGATTTTGACCTGGTCTATTATGTGTTTATAGTCCTTGTACGACTTTGCGTAGCTGGTGTTCAGATCGCTATTGGAGAGTAGGATTTCTTTGGCAGGTAACTCGTGTGCAAATACCTTGATCAGCTCTTTAGCTGTTTGAAATCGAATCCTATACTCCGGTGGAAGCTCAGCCGCCATGTGGTATATGATGGGGACTGGAGTGCATTTAATGAGACCTAGTACACGCCTAAGGTTAAGGTTGGTATGCGTTTTAATTTTGTCTGTGGCTGTTTTGGACAATTTGCTAAATGACGAGCATGCATACTCCAGCTTACTTCTCACAAACGCTCTATGTAAGAGAAGACCTTTACTAGGGTTAATTCCAAAGGTGCAACCACTGAGCAACTTTAAGAAGGCACAAGTTTTGTTTGCTGAAGAGACCGCACACTCGATATGGGCGCAAGGTGAGTTATTTGCGGCTACGATTCTTCCTAAATATTTAATCTGATCTACGTCCCTAATTGGTGTGCCATTGTGCAGAACTTCAAGCGGTTGCCTACGCAAATTAAAGTGAATTACCTTGGATTTGGTAGGGTTGAAGGATAGATTTAAGTCACTGCATTCAATTTCAAATTCTGAGATCTTTTCGAACAGTTTATCTCTGGCTCCTGCGAAGGTGGGATCAAAGCATACCAGAAAGAAATCATCCGCATACTGGAACAGCTCACAGTTTTGGTCGTTCAGGGAGTGCAGTTCAGCCGTGTACAGGTTGAAAAGAGTTGGGCTAAGGCAACTACCCTGAGAGACCCCCCTGTTGAGCTCCAGTCGACATCCGCCCTTCACCAAAATTCGCTTTCGAAGAAAGTCAGTTACCCAAGTGATTTGATGGAGGTTGAAGCCGAGACCACGCAGTCAAAAGCCTTTTGGAGGTCAAGGCACGCGGCTACCACCTGAAAGCCCTCAGCCTTTAGAGATTGTATTTTGTTTATAATGTCATTTATGCATAGTGTTGTGGACCTGTATTTTCGAAAAGCATAAGATCTATCAGGTAGCAGCCTGTTTGCCGAAATGTGTTGGTCAAATTGAAGTTTTATGAGCCCCTCTAATACCTTGAATAGGACGCTTAATAAACATATAGGTCTGTAATTGGCTAATTTGGTTGCGTCTGAGTTTCTCTTTGGGATTGGCACTACTTTTATTTCTCTCCCGCATTCTGGGATTTGGCCGGAAAGCCATATAGAATTTAAGAGATTGAACAATTCCGTTTTCTTTGCCTGAGATAGTGCTTGTATCATTCGATATGAAATTTTATCCAGTCCTTTTGCAGAGTCTGGTTTTCTGGAGGCCAAAAATTCTGAAAAGTCGGCGATTTCAAAGGAATTTCGAGTATAGAGCTGCAAAGTATCCGGATCCCTGATAGGACCGCTTGTAACTTCTCTGGTGGACGGGGTATCTTGGATAATTTGCAGGAATTGCTCATCTTCTTCTTCTGACCATGAGTTGCCCGTTCGTTTTAACTGCTTGTATTTTTTCAAATTTTTGATACTTTTCCAGATGGATGGACTTTCTGAAATTTCCTCTACAAAGGCTTGGAAGTTAGACCTTCTCTTGTTTCGGATATAGTCTTGGAGAGTCTTTTCTGCAATTAGTGTTTTACGGGCGTCTTCGAATTTTTTCGTAAGGTAAAACTTCTGCCTAGCAGCATTTCTAAGCCGATATAACTTTTCCCCTTCTTGACTCCACCATTTTTTCGGTTCGTATTTGTTTCTTTTTGTATTTTGATTGTATTTGCCTTGGTAATGGCTTCTAATGAATTGTTAATAGTTTCTAGGCTGGTAAAGTTAACTCCTTCAAAGGCAATAGCCACTTTATTGTCTAGTATTTTGTATGAGTTTGTACTTATGTTGTTAATAATAATTTCTATCGGAAAATGGTTGCTGTTGGTAGTTTTGCATCTGGAGGAACTCCATGAAATGTCAAGATCTCTCGTGTTAGAGAACGTGAGGTCGAGGACTGAGAATTGTGCAGGGCTGACTGAGAAAGTTGGGGAGCCGTCGTTAAGGCATACAAAGCCTGCGTCTAGAGCAGCTCGTTCGACTGTGTGGCCCTTTTGATCGCTACTTGTGCTACCCCATGTTATTGACTTCGAGTTAAAGTCTCCACCGATTATGGTCGGGTTATTTAGAGATGCAGCGTAGTTAAATAGATTTCTAATGCCCTGTTTCAGATTTTGAACTGTGGTTGAGGGGGGAATATATAAACCAAAGATGTTAATATTTTTCTTAAGGTTTAGTGTCTGTATTCCTAAATGTTCTATATTATCTACAGATTTTAGAATTCTAAACTTTATGTTGCATCGTATATAAACACCAACTCCACCATAGCCATCCTCCCTGGGTTTTCCAAAAAAATGGTACTCTGGAATGCTGCAGTCGCTGTTATCCTTAACCCAGATTTCAGAAAGAACCGCTATGTCGATATTGTTGTTTATGAGATGCATGCTTAAGAGATGTTTGTTGTTTAAGTTATTCAAGCTTTGTATGTTTAGTTGTAGAATTTTCATTGTGATGGTATCGGCTGAGAGAGAGATTAAATGGTGTTCGAAATCTGTTGTGCATCTATATCTGCGTTACTTTGGTTTATAAAGTCCCTAATCTCCCCTAGAAAGTGTAATATTGACTCGTTTGTTGTGGAATTATTGTTGCTGATGGTAATGAATTCTGAGATTTTTTTCCCCAGTGTATTTAATTTGTCTAT